CCTGTCTCTCCAGCTTCTGCCCCATCTGAACAGCCCTCAGGTCATGCTCCCTAGCTGAGCAGGGGCTGGTGATCATACTGCCTGCTTCCTTTCCCAACCCACAGACATACACGAACATACACATGAACACACATGCAGGATGTTACACACATAATGAACTCACAACACACACATGTGCATGGCCATCCACCTATCTATCTTGGAGTTCACCTGCCAACATCTCCTCACCTGGGCAGCTAAGGATCTCACTGACTAGGCCCTCCCTGCCTCTCTAGCCTCTCTCTGGCCCCTGCTCTGTTCCACCACCCACACTAAGCCATCATACCCTGCCTGTGTCAAGAACCCCCTGCTGGGCCTCCAGATCCCCTAGAATCTCCTATTATGACTTGGTTGCATGCTTACTTCACACAGATCACTGGGCAGAGGCCCCTCTAGGCAGGGTCACAGTGATTGTCAGCCGTGTGCCCTGGACATGTTCAGAGAACACTTATGTCCAGTTGTAGAATGGAAGAGTGATCCTGTGAATGAATGATTAGCCTAGCTGGGGGTGGGGTGGTGGGGATACATATACTAAACCTGGGCTTGGTCTGGGGTGAGATGAAAGGGACAGGGTAAGTGTTCTGGTTATCAATACTGTGCTCACTGGTGGCTCCTGGAGACAGTTCTGTGAGGCTGGGAGACATGGGGTTATTGGTAAGTCCTGGGACAGGTCTTTTCAGGGACCCTCTCTTGTGCCCTTCTCTGGTCCCCAGCTCCACCTAGGCAAGCAGGGGTGTATGCATACGACCCTGAGTTGGAAAAGGCAGATACAAGCAGGCCTAGAGTTCTGGGTGGGGGGATAGTGGGAAAGAAGGAAGGAAGGGGAGGAGTTGCCCCAGCACCATCAATACTTCTCCAGTGGCATGGTGGTCCATATTGTATTAAACACTGTAGCAAGCCATCAACCACAGCATCCCAGTCCACGTTTTTTTCCCCAAATTGTGCTAGGGTCATGTAGGCTGGGAGAAGCCCACCTCTATCATCTATCCACCACCCTCCCACCTTCCACTAGAGCTAGAGGGGCCTGATGGCTCTAATTTCAGGAGCACCTTCCCTGTAGGTCCCAGGGCTTAGAGGAGCTTGGTGGGTTTGCCTTGGAGGAACGCCAGCATAGAATTCTGTCTGCCTGTCTAGCCTGGGGCTGTTCCTTGCTCAGGGCTGCTTACCAGGGATGGCCAGGGATCTAGGATAGCACAGACAAGGCAAGACTCTGGCACACAGAGGGCCCTTCCCAAGCTCACAGGTGCCCTATCCTGGAAGACCTAGATTTAAGTACTGCAGCCTGTCAAAGGAAGGGACTGTCTGGGACAGGATCCCAGTTTTCAGGCACCCTGAGCAAGTGACTTCCTTTCTAGGTGTCTCAGTTTCCTTCTTACAGAAAATGTGTTGCCGGGAGCCAGTGAGATACCTAAGGGCCAGCAGCATCCACAGAGGTACCTCTGAGCCTCCCAGTGTGCCCTCACCCCTTCTTATTGACACCAGCTCAACACAACAAAGTGTTTGGAGGCCTTGCCCTGAGTCAGAGGCCAGGTCACCTTCCCATCTCCATAGTGCTGGCCAGGCCAGGACTTCCCTTCCTGGGTGCCAGACCTTGGGACTTGTGTGTGGGAAGCAAAAGCCAGTAGGAATAGAGCCAATCCTGCACGTTATCTTGATTTCTGATTGAGAACGGGATGTCTTAAGACCAGATGCTGGTAGAAAATGAAACACACACTTTCTAAATTTAGGCAGCTGAGAATTGCACATTTACCCAATTAGACGTATTGATTGGTGAGCGTGAGCTTGCTGTCTCCACAGTGCCCTGGCTGTACCTCTGGCTGCCTCTCTGTGAGCATCCTTGCGGGCCTGTGTGTCCATGGTGGTGACCACTGGCTGCAATCTAGGCCTCTAAGCTGTGCTCCTGCCTTGAGCTATCTGTCACATCTAGAGCTGGACCCTGCTGTCAGCAGGGGAGTGTCTCAGGGTGAGGTAGTGGGGCCAAGCCTAGGCGGACTCTTTTCCACCAAGGTGGGACAATACTTGAAGGTCCCTCAAAGCCAGGCCTGTTGAGTGTGTATGGGAACAATGGGCATATGGCTCCTCACCTACAAGGAACTCACGTTTTTATAAGGAAAAGTGACTTAAAACAATGACAAGGCCATGTCCTGGGTAGCACTGTGAAGGACAAGACAACTGGAGAGGCTTCCCAGGTTTGGGAAACAGGCAGAAAGGATGGGGCATAAGAAGCAGGAGAAGCCTCTGTGACACAGCTTGGAGGGAAAGGATGTGTGATGTAGTCAGTGCCCCAACAGCCCAGTGGGTATTTTGGAGAGGTCAGCAGGCCTGATTGGGGATGAGAGTGAGTGCTGTATTAGACCTCAGGCAAGAAGGCTTTTGGGACACTCGGCCTTGGGAGACTCTTGTGTTTCAGACAGTGGTCTGTGGGGCAGGCTGTCTACTCTGGATGCTAGAATTACATCAAGAGCACCTTGCCATCACAGTATGTGCATGTACCTGCCACACCCTGTGTGTATGTGTGTGTGTGTGTGCAGGCGCACACATGCACACTTGCACAAGCATGCGTGCCAGGGATCCTGCTTCTAGGGACTGAAGAGGAGGGACCCTCTCCCACTCCAGACAAAGCCATCACTGTCTGGGAAAGGTGTGTAAGTGGGCATGGCATGATCTGGAAGGTACTGCCTATTCCGTGTCCAAAAAATAGAGGGAGTTGGTCTGTACCCAGCTCTGGGGGTCTCTAAGCTTGGACAGGAGTGCTTGGGACTATTACACTGAGAAGAGTCCTTTGGAGTGCCTGGGGATGGACAGAGCACAAAAGGAAGCCCAGGACTAGTGCCGTGGTTGCCCGGCCAATACTCTGTTACAAAGTTGCAGAAGCCAAGAAACATTGGCACCACAGGTGCGCTCACGGAATGCTCCGCGGTTTCCCAGCAGGAATCTCATCCTGGCCTATGTTTGGCTCCTGTCAGCACCTGGCATGTACTAGAAGGATCTGCTTGGGCAGGAGGCTGAGACTCAGGCACTCTTCCAGCTCTGAGAGCCTCTGGTTTCTTCTCACTCACTCACACTTTATTTTATTTTTAATTGTGTGTGTTCATGTGAGTGCAAGTACCTGTGGGGGCCAGATTAAGATGTTGGATCCCCTGGTGTTAGAGGTACGGGCAGTTATGAGTTGTCTGATGTAGGTGTTGGGAATCAGATACTTTGCAAGAGCAGCCTTTGCACTTAACTGCTGAGCCCTCTCCCTAGCATTTCATGCATGCTTTAGTCCTCTTTTATACTCTTCTGGAGACTGGGGTCCTGGGAAAGCTCATGCTGTCAGGATGGGAGTGTGTGGTTCAGGCCTGGGCATTATTATGCCCTATGGAACTGGGAGGAGAGAGAAGTTGCTGGAGATTGCATTCTAGAAAAGGAGCCAGGTGGAGTCTGGGGGAATATGTGTGTCTGTGTGGCCATGGCAGGAGAAATACAAAGTTGGTACCACAGGCCCCTGGAAAGAAGTTCTAATAATGCCTCCACAGAATGGCTAAAGCAGCTGCAGCTCCTGGAGCAAGGCTCTGGTCATGTTTCATGGTGATGATGTATGACATGACAGGAGTTAGTGGCTGTGGTAGGAATGCCTTGGGGCTACTTACCCTGGGCAGAAACTGAAAACACCTAGCTTCAGCCAGATGAGGCATTCCAGAAGGTGTTTAATAGAGCTTCAACTGCTGGCTTTGAGGGGTTGGCAAGCCTAGAAAGCAGAGTGTCTTGGGGTTCAGCTGTGACACAGGTGTGATGTGTCGTCTCTCATGAGTCAGCTTTGGTCCCAGGATCTATGGCAGAGCTAAGGAATCAATGAGTGCCTTGAGGAGAGTCAAGGATCTGTAGAGAACAGGAAGTTTGCATTAGGGGAAACAGGCTGGAGAGGAGGTCCTGGGGCATCTCATGGATCTGTAGGTGCTTGGACATGAACTCTTAAGTCATTAGACCAAGGCCAATGAGTGGAGAAGATCTGGCCTGGGACAAAAAGAACAGGCAGTATTTGTCTCAAAGGACACCCTTCCATACAGCTTCCCTGCTCCTTGCCTCGTCCTGGCTTAGAAACCTGCTCCCAGTATGCAGAGATGGGCCTCATCCCAGATTCAGTTTTTCTTCTGTTGGGTGACATTCAGGGTTCGAGTCTCCTCATTGTGTCAAACACCCTTCTTTGGCTAAGATTTCCCATCCCATTCTGAACTGCCCAGGCCAGACCATAAAACACAGAGTCCAGGACCCCACTTGGTATGGAAACAGCACAGTATGCAGTAAGTGCTGTGGTTCCTCAGCAGTCTGGGTCTGGGAGTGGCTTGCTGGCAGGATAGGACCCTGTCTGGGTCATAGCTGGCAAGGTGGGCTGACCAGAAAGCTGTTTTTCAGCCCTAAGCCAAAGCACACCCAGGAGGAGGCCAAGGACTCTGTGGACACAGGTGTGAGTGGGACATTTTCTCTTGACCTTTCCCCCCTCTGCCTCTCCATCTCTGCTTGCTACAGATGGGGGTGGGGGATGGGGGGCAGAGAGGAAGAAAAGAGCTAGGGGCTACTGAGAAGCCTAATTTGGCAAGGAGGTGGGTGCCGAGATGGTCCCCAGGATCCAGGGCCTGCCTGTGACAACAACGATGCATCCCCTCCAGGACCTGGAACAGCAGGAAGGGGCTTTGTGGGAGGCCAGGGGCTGGCCAGGGAGAGTCCAGCAACTCCCATCCTGGTCCTTTCTCCAGGCCAGAGCAGTGGTTTCCAAGACAGCAGCACCAAGCCCCCTCCCACTCTGACCCAGAAACACTTCTCCAGAAGGAAGCTAAGGGATGCTCCTATCCAGCCCTTAGGGCTGAGCTATTGCCCTTTTCCACTGGTCTCGGGACTTTCAGCGCTCTGCATGTGCTCCCTGACATCTTTGTTGGGGAGAGGTGACCTAGACCCTTCTCTCCAAGCACCTGGGGCAGAATGGGGGGCGGAGAGCAATGACCTCCGGCTCAGTGCTTTGCTTTGGCTGCCTGGAGAAGCCTCCAGAAGGGGGAAGCGCTCTCGGCCCCGCCCCCTCCTGGTCCAGGGCTCCGGCCACGCAGAGGCAGGGGGAATCTGCGGGTGCATCTTCACAGAAAGAGTACTTTGGTTGCCACGGGTGCCGGGCGGGTGCTGGCCCCGCTGTCCACCCTGTCTCTGTGTGTTGCGCTTACCCGAGGTTCCACGTTGAGCCCCGCTCTACGCGCAGCCGGGCCCCCCCCCCCCGGCCCCCTCCCAGCGTGGGGCGGGCAGGGGGTGTGGTGCGGGCGGCACGAGTGACAGCGCGCTCCTCGCGCGGTGCCTCCACGGGGCTCAGTGTCACAGCGCCCGAATGCGCTGCGCGCACAGCCCGCCGCGGGCCGCCAGCCCTGGCGAAGGGATGCCCTGGGAGCCTTAGCCCGAGTCAGAGCCCAGCCACTGACCACCGAGTCCGCGCCCTCGTTGTCACCTCGCTGCTGTCAACGCGGAGACAATGGACGCGGGAGCCGCCCCGCAGAAGCACAGTAGGTACCGCTCCTGTTACTGCAGACACCGGGCTGGGGCGGGTAGACGCGCGGGGGCGCCGCTGCTCCTGGCCCCGGTTCGGGGCTGTGGGAGGGGGGACTTGCGGTTCCAGAGCTGCATGAGGGCTCAGCTGCTTCTCTTCTCCATTGGGCACCAGTGCGCAGGTGGGATCACAACAGGACAGGCAGAGAGGTCCAAGGCTCTCTAGGTGGCCTCAGGTACTGGATGAGGGATCAGAGCGCCACCCCCTGCAAACTTTCCTCCCCGGGTTTCAGGACGATGTCTTACTGGGGCTGTGATTCTGTGTGGAAACTGACCCCTGCCGGGGTGGGGGTGGGGATGCCCCTACTTCCTACTCAGTGGTGCAGCAGGGCCACGGCCGCGTGAGTCTATCAGAAGTGCTGGGTGGACAGCTGCAGCGTAGTCGAACATATCACACATCTGCACCTGCCCTGCCCCCAGCCTTGGACGCTGTAGGGCCAGGTGGGAACCACATGACCCTGTAGGGCAGTGTGGGGGAATAGTTCAAGTATCCACTGTGTGTGGTGATTCCTGGGGCTCTGGGCCTTCAAGTCCTTCTAGGGCATCCTGTAGGGGATGGAGTACTTCTAGAATTACAAAAGGGAGATGCCAAAGAAATAGGAGGCCTCCTCTCCCCTCCCCTCTTTTCTTCTCCTCTCCTCTCTCCTCACCTCCCTCCCTCTTCCCTCTTTTCTTCTCTTCTTCATTTCCAGTCTCTCTCTATGCTCCCTGGTGACAACTGAGGCATATGAAGTGATCATATACTCCATGACAAATCGGGCCTTTCTTCTGTGATCTTGGTGCCTCACCATGAAGAGGTACCAGTGTACCCCTTGCTCCCTAATGCCCTAGGTTCCAGAGGTAGTGCCTACTCTTCTCATGCCTGGGCCACAGTACTGAAAGCATCCATCCAGGGATGCCCACTGGTGTCCTGCCAGGACCCCTGAACAAAGAAAGGCCCAACTTAAGAGCTGCAGCTGCGGAGGGGAGTCTGGGCACCATGGACAGGAGCAGGTCAGAGGTCAAGCCTGCCTTCCGACCTGCCTGTTAGTGGGTCAGGAGCTGGTCTGTACATTTCTCCCCTCTGAGGGCCCTGGCCTAATTGGCCCCATCACATTACCTCTGCACTTACTCCACAGCCACGTTCTTTGCAGGTCCCCATGAGAAGGGCTGGGCTTTAGATAGAATGAGAGATTCCTGTGGCAGCTAGCATGTCAGTTACCTGGGGAGTCCTACAGTCCCTTTCCCTCAGGCTCAGCTTCTTGGGGTCCTTGTCCAATGTAAGATGACAGCTGACCCCTCACACTCTTGGAACGGGAGAGATTGGAGTTGGCCTGATAGTAGCTCGACAGTGTGTGCTGTTTGGAGCTCCAGGGGTTGGTAGCCTTAATGCCTTGGACCCTTGCCCATCTAGGAAGCTGAGTAAGCCTGAGACTGAGGCAGGCTTGCTCTCTGTCACCCAGCCAGACTGATACGATACACTGCCATTGGGTAACATCCAGGTGTGGGGTCCAGAAAGTGTTTAGTAGTGATGGTGGGTTCTCCACTGAGTAACCCTTCAGATGATGCTTAGGCTAGGCCCGTGGGCCCTGGGTCCCCTGCAGGTCTTGCTGCTTACAAGTGAGAGAGTCCCACCTGCAGACCCTCCTAGGGATAGGAAGCCCTAGTGCCTGAGGCTCTCCGTCCTACCACCAATAGTTCAGGTTACATAATCCCCCACCCCACACATGGCTTGCTGTAATCGGCAGCAGCCAGGTTTGACAATATGAGTTGTAATTGGATTTTAATTTTTAATGCCTGCAATAGATGAAGAGCTATGGGCCAATTTGTATAGACTCAGTTACTCTGCGCCTAACAGGACTACTTCATTAGCTGCCAACTATTGCACCCACCCTGCCTCCTGCTCCTGGGAGGGGTGATGAGCCACCTGCTGCAGTGGAGGGACTGCTCAGGGTTCCTCCTGGACCTCAGAGCGGGCTGAAGACCAGCGTAGAAGGTTCCCTCCTGGTGCCTACCACTCCTTCTGTATCACTGTAGCTCCCAGCTTACATGGGGCTCTGTCTGCTCTTGGCTGCCAGGAAAGGGGTTGTCATCTAGGGCCCAGGTGTCACTAGGTTGCAGCTGACTGCTTTTGGCCAGGGCTCTTGACCCCAGGGCCAATAGGCACAGGTGTCTCTGGGATCCTCTGGACTCCCAAGTTACCCTGAGAGCTCTGAGTAGGGATGGGAGTCAGGACTGCAGCAGGTCTCCCAGGTGCTGGGGGCGGGGGAGCCACTAGGGGGGTGGCACATGGCCTCCACATAGACTGAGTCTTGAATAGAAGCATGGTCCTTTTCCAGTGGTTCCTCCCACCTCCCCAGCTGGAGGGGTCCCAGGGAGAGGCGCTCATCTGCGACCGCCCTTTAGATTATTCTTAGGTCTGTTGTGTAACAGGCAGCATCGCAGGCAGATGGAGGAAGGGCTCCTAGAGATGTCTCCAGTGGCAGCAGCTAGCCAGCCGGGAGTGAGCTTTTGTCCTTTCTGCCTGCCCAACACAAAGGGACAAAGGAGACTGCTTCTGCCGCCCAGTCCTGCCAAGAGCTGGCCATTCTGGAGAGGGGCTCGGAGTCACGGGGTTCCAGTGCCCCTTGGCCTCCCAGGGCTCCCTGGGTTGAAGGTGAACCTGTCTTGGAGCTTTCTCAGACTCGTGCCTCTGTAGCCTTATATGGGCTCTGGTGTGTGTGTGTGTGTGTGTGTGTGTGTGTGTGTGTGCATGTGCGTGCACGCACACACGCATATACCCTCCTCGCAGACCAATTCTGAACAGGGGTCTGAGGAGGGAGTAGAGGTGCCCACCCTGTCCGGAGCTTCCTACCCCTTGCTCTTGCTCCTTTCCCACCCCATTCTATTCTCCCAGCAGCTTTCAAGCTTAATTCCAGGGTCTCCACACCCACAGATTGGAGCAGGCTCCTCATACCTGTTTTCTGAGCTCCTGCTGGGTATCAGACCCCAGTGGGCAGAGCATGTCAGGAGGAGTCATGTCTGATGACAAGCAAGAGGGACTTTGGAGAGACTGACAGACAAGACTATGGAGTGGACTCTTCACGTTGTCAGAGACTGCCGGAGAGTGCCGCATAGATCCCAGTTTATCTGCATCCTGTGGGCTCATGGCCTTCTTTACCTCGTCTCTCCTCCTTACTAGATCCTCTGAGATACATATATCCTGGAACATATGTGCACATACATGGACGCATACATACATGAATATGTGTATATAACTTATACATACATGCATAATCTGCACAGTTGCATAGACCTGCTTCCAAGGCAGAGGCACCAAGTCTGCCTGCGGATGGAGTGAACTGGCTGGCATTTTTTTTTTTTAAATCAAGACAGGGTATCACTTTGTAGCTCAAGCTAGCCTTGAACTCCAGGCAATCTTCCTGCCTCAACCTCCCAAGTGCTGGGATTACAGGCATGTGCCACACCACACATGCTGGCTCTAGCTAGCTGAATCTCTTGAGTCTCATGTTCTCTCCTGAGACACTGCTGTGTGTAAAGGGCATGAGAGAAAGGAACTGCAGGGGCTTGTAGCTCTGGGTCGCTAATCTATTTATGACCCATAATTATGACTGATCTTCTGACTTTAGAGAACCTAGAATGCAGGGAACACTGGGGGATGGTGAAGGACAAGATTCTGAAATGTTCTTCTGCTTGGTTAGTGAGGGCCCAGGGAGGCCACTGACCTGAGCTCCATACCAGCACCTCTAGCCTAGACTCTTCTTTTGTCATGGGCCAGCCTAGATCTGGACGGGGGGTCACTTGCCGATCTGGCCCTCCCACGGGGCACCATCACATCTGGTAGTTGCTCTGTCTGTATGAGTGTTCCCCTGAGTTGACACAGAGGTGAACCTTGGAGTCCTGTGGGCAGCGGGGGGTGGGGGGTTGTTCTTTGCACTGATTACTCTAACCGGTTATGAGAGCTAGGCAGGTCACCTAACCATCTGAGTCCCTTTCTCCTCTACAAAGTCATGTCTGCAGCCACCTGCTCCAGTGGTGCTTTAAGGAAGCACATGGTTCTGTGCTAGGCTGGGGAAGTCTCAGGGCCCTGTGGCCACTGGGACCCTCCTTCCCTACAGGAAAGCCTTCATGACAGCTAGCCTGTACTCTTCTTCCACGGACTCCCAGTCGTCCATCTCAGCGTGAGGGTTATCACCTAGGTTGCTGGAACAAACTGCCGCACACTGATGACTTATATTTGTAATGCACCCTCACTCAGTCCCGGAGGCCACAGGTCTGACGAGTGGGTGGCGTCGTGCTCCTTCTGAAGGCTCTGTGGGAAGGCCCTTCCTATCATCTTCTCACGGCCATGGTCTTCTTGGCATCCTAGCCTTATGTCTGCACATTTCTCTCTTCGCCTCTCTCCTGCGTCCTCGGCTTTCTGCCTTCCCCGCTCTGTCTCTTGAACCTCCCCCTTCTGTGAGGCTCATTGCTTCTGGTGGACGGTGCTGCCCACACTCTGGCCCCTCTACACAGGAGATGGCAGTGACTAAGGTTCCTGAGCCTCTTGCCCTGTCCTGCCTTACCTGTGGTCCCTGATGTTCTGTAGAACTCCATTCTTTCTGCCTCTGACATGTGAACGGGAGCCCATCATTGGACCAGGACGGCTGCCGATACAGTGGAGCCCTTGAGTAGCCACAGATGCTCAGGGTCACCACCTTAAAGTCCCTAGCCTAGTCTTATTTGCAGAGATGCTTTCTAAGTGCAGTCATGCTTATGGGTTCCAGGGACACACATGTATCTTTGTCATCGTTCAGCCCACCTCAGTGGTCACATCGTCTACCCTGGCATCTCCCTGCCTCAACATTGCTGAACCTGAATCAGGGGCACACATCTCCTGCTACTGAGTCCCACAGGCTCAGGACAGGACTGGTGCAAGTATGTGACATGCTGATGGTATGAACATGGCTATCTAGTTGGGGAAGTTCAGGTTCTCATCACCC